GCTCGTTGCTCGCGACCCCCGACCCGAAACCCCTTTAGATAGGAACGGTCAGGGCTCCACAAGAACCGTCACTGCCGAGTCCTTTCCTCCGGGCGCCTCTTTTGCGACACTCCCTGGCACAGAGCCCGCCCACTGACGCGCTCGCCAGCCACTTCCGCCCTCGCTTCCCATCGAGCAAGATGGCGGAGGAGCCGGAGTCCGTGCTGCAGCTCCCTCCGTCCGCTGCTGCTGGCGGCGAAGGACTTACGGAGGTCTCCCCAGAAACAGTCACTCCGGAGCCCCCTTCTTCCGCTGCGGTCTCTCCGGGGACAGAGGAACCTGCTGGTGACACCAAGAAAAAAAGTAATTTCGAAAGCACTTTCTAGCAGAGGGGTGGGATGTAGATCGCGTCCCGGTGGCGGCCAATAGGGATGTGGGCTGTAGAGGAAGGCCCTTCCCGGACGTGTTTGAGAACAGTCAGGAGAGACGGAGTGTCCCGCCCGGTGACGGCCTGTCGGCGTCGTAGCCGGGACGTGGCTGCCGCCGCCCTGGGCCCGCCGCGCTGCGACTCCTGCGAGGAGCTGGGGAGCGGGATCTCGGCGCCCCAGCACCTGACACAGGGATAATGACCTGAATAATGGTGGGAGGAGGTGGGGGAGCCACTGACTGCCTGACTTAGAGTTCACGCCTTCGTACTGTTAATTCTACTTCCCTGCTCCCCAGTTGAATGTGAATTCGCTATTTGAACGAAAAAAAAATGCAGTTTTGCCCAGTGTGAGGCATGCTGAGCGAAAGCTGAGGACGGTAGGCATTGCTGTAAATGCTTTATAAAACCTTCTCTAAGTATGAATTACTTGCTGTTCTAAGCCTGCACTGACTCATTTAATACTCATAACAGCCCTACAAAGTAAATACTATTATCTCCCTTTACACACGCCGCAATCCCTTCTCCATTCTCCTCTCGGGATCTTGGGCACGCACGCACACGCGCCTGACCTGGAGGTTAATGTGCTGTGTCCTACGTGGCCACAGCAGGCTTGAGTCTTGCACTCGCAGTTTGAAAATAACCCGGGCACATACGCCTGCGTCCCCAAAGTCCCAGGAGTATACTGGAGGAGGAAGGATTGTGGTGTGGCCAGCCCCCTTTGGGGCGTGATTTCTCACTTTCTCTCTGTCTCTGTCTCTATGTTTACTTCTGATGAGCGCATGCAAAAACTATAAATAAATAAATAATGTATACAGCTGTGTACCTAACAATTAGAAGAGCCAGGATCTGAACCCAGCTCTTTAAAATATTATTTTTAAAATCTGTTGTTGAATATCTTTTATTCGATCAATCCCTTCTAAATATCCTTGTTGAACACAAATCTACAAGGTTTTTTCTATAAAAATAAATGAAGATAAAATCCTTTTAAGTCAATTTTTATACTTCTCATGTTTTCTTAGGCTAGATTTCTAGAGGTATTCAGTAAAAGTGTGTTTCCCCAAATATATACATACCATTTCATGTTCTTAACAGGAGTGTCACGGACAGTATTATTACTGTAACCTTTACTAGTTTGGTAGGTGAAAAAGGCCTTGACATTATTTTACTTGGATGTTTTCATGGGCTACAATATTGTTTAGCATCTTTATTAACCATTTATATCTCATTCTTTGGAATTGCCTATTGTATCAAAATGCATCTTAGAGATTTAGTCTCATGGGTAGAACTTTGTAGTATTAAGACAGGAAAAAATAATAATCTAACATTTTTACATTTCAAATGTAACTCACTGTCTTAAATACATGAAATCTATGTAGATTGGGCCACCTCCATGGCCTGGTGGTTAATATGACCCGACCCCACATGGCCAACTTGTAGCTCAAGTCCCAGACCCAGTGGCTTTAGAAACATGCTGGGCACGTGTGTGTGTGTGTGTGTGTGTGTGTCCAGAAGACCGAAAGGCAGGAGTGATGGAGGAGAAGGGCTTGCAGTATGACCACGCCCCACAGACGGTACTTCCTTCTGTCTTTTTCTTGCTCTGTCTTTGTCTCTGGCGAGAACATACATTCACACACACAAAATCTGTAGATTAAAGATGTGCTACCACACGTGCTTTAGATGTTTCAGTACCATTGTCAATAATTTTTTCTTTTGCAGTTGACATCCTCCTAAAGGCTGTAGGAGATACCCCTATTATGAAAACAAAGAAGTGGGCTGTTGAGCGGACCCGAACCATCCAAGGACTTATTGACTTCATCAAAAAGTTCCTTAAACTTGTCGCCTCAGAGCAGTTGGTATGAAAACAGCGATCATTGTTTTTCTGTCAAACTGTGTAGCACGTCCTTAGCAACAGTGGGTAACTGTATGTAGAAATGCACCTGCCACCACACGCACCACTTTCACTGTGCTCGTTCATCTTCTTTGTTGGCAGAATTTGTGTACTTTATCAAAGTCTTCTCTGGGGAATCCTCAAATGAAATTAATTTCAGATTTGCTTTACAACGTGAATCTTTTTTTTCCCCTTAACCTATTGTCTTGTTTTCCTTAGAAAGTCACTGAATAACCATACCAAAAAATCATGAACCATTGCATTTTTTTGTACATTACTACAGAAGTTCTCTTTTTTTTATTTATTTTGATATCATTGCTTTTTTAAAGAATTATTTCATTATATTTTTTACTATTATTATTTTAATTTGACCAGAGAGAGAAAGAAAAGGTGAGAAAGCAAGCCACCAGGTCCAGGACTCGAACAATGGTGTGCATTTTAGGAGTCTAGCACCTTAACCACCACACTACCTGCCTGCCCCTCGTCGTTACTTCTTTTTTGGAGAGGTTTTTGCTATAGGGTGCATGCGCTCGCCCAAAAGACAGAGAGACAGAAAGTGAGAAATCACCCCTTACGGAGATGGCCATGCTGCAATCCCTTCTCCTCCATTCTCCTCTCGGGATCTTGGGCACGCATGCACACGCGCCCGGCGTGAGTTTAAGCCACCGGGTCCGGGACTTGAACCACGGTCGACCACGGGAGTCCAGTGACATAGCCATTACTCTAACTGCTGGTCCCTTGTCATTACTTTTTTATTCCACATTGAGGTAGACAATATACCTTTGCCATTTTGAAAGAACTAAGAGACTTATTTTGTATTATAACGCACATTAAGCACTTCGTGGTGGCAGTTGTAGCTAGGGTTAGTATTTTAAATGCCCCTTGTTTTTAATTTGGTATTTGACTACAGAAATTTAAATGTCTTTATGTTTGTGGCATTTTATGAAGTATTGATACCTCAGACATCTTGATCTGCAAATAGATCAGTCTTAGACAATATTAACTTAGCATATGAGTATCCAGGTAATTGAATCACCTACTTTTAGAGTACAAATTAAGAATATGTATAGGCTCGAGGAGAATATATTTGCTTATAAACATAGAAATGAGAACAGGTGAACTAATTACTAAATTGGGATGTGTTGGAATTTATTTTGGTCAATGAGGAGCAAAAAGTGACATATTTAAGAGTGTGACTAAGTGACTCTTACAAAGGGACATCAGTGTAAAAGTAAATGAAAGATATATTAATCACAAGAAATTATTTGCAGCAAGCATAAAACTAGGGATTTCTGCAAAGAAAGCTGTTTGGGGAATGTTAGGAAGAATTGAGTTTTGCAAGTGAACATTCTCCTTTTGTGATCAGCCAGCAGGAAAAAATCCTTCACTCTGGCACAGGGGCCAAGGAGACTGGGGAGCTTTAGCAACCTAGACTCCTCTAGCCCTAGATTTAGAACCAGAAGACCTAAGTCTGATCTGGGTTCTCCCGTTTACCTCCAATTCACACTAGCTGTGTAACCTTAAGCATTTTTAACACTGAGTCTCAGTCTTCTCATTTGTTAAAAGGGAAAGGTTACATAGAGTTTTAAGTATCAAACAAAATAATATGTCCAAAAGCTTTATAAATAGCACATGCCCTATAACAAAAACCCCTCAAAAAAAAAAAAAAAAAGAATTAAAGGGGGTATGAGATAGAGGAGAAGCTCTAGTGTTACCTACATACATGCGGTAGCTAAGTCCTCAGGTACTGAGGGCCTTGCCTAGAATTCAAGTCTAAAGGGAAAAGAAAGGAAAATGAGGACATGCACTTGAGAGAACTGAACAGAGGCTGTATCTCTACTAAATATGAAGCATAAACAGCTGGGAAGCAAAGTAATGCCTGGTAATTTAAGATATTAGGAATGATACTATTCTATTTTAGAAGCTTAGAATTGTTTATTACTAGTATTTAGTAATCTGAAAGGACTTGATTGATTTCAATATGCATAAGGTTAAACCATGTAAATTGTCATCAGTCAACCATTTTAACCTATAATAAAGAACATTTTAATATGTTTAAAAGAAAGCTTAGGGGCTGGCAGATAGCCAGCGTGCGGTTGATGTGCTGGACTCCACTTGGCCAACTGCAGTTCAAGTCCTGAACCTGGTGGCATGCTTCCTCACTTTTCCTAACCCCCCTCTCTCTCGGGCCAATTTAAAAATAATAATGATAACAAATAAATATTTTTTTTAAAAAAAAATAATAATGATAACAAATAAATATTTTTTTAAAAAAATGGTACCAGCAGATGGCATATAGGTTATGTTGCTGGACTTCCACGAAGTCAACTGCAATTCAAGTCCCAGACCCAGTGGCTTAAAATTCATGCTCGGCACATATGCATGCATGTGTGCCCAAAATCCCAACAGCAGAAGGGATTGCGGCGTGGCCATCCCCCCAGGGGGTGATTTCTCACTTTCTATCTCTCTCTGTCTCTGGCAGGTTGTATGCACCCTGTAGTAGAAATCT